TCAAAACATGCGAAATTTGTAATAAGACAAAATATGAAAGGCAACCCTATAAAATAATATTCAAACCAACTCCAATCGGTTCAAAACCCTTTGAACACCTTTATATTGATACATACGTAGTTTCGAATCAAAAATTCCTAACAATTATTGACAGCTTTTCGAAGTTTGCACAAGCTATCCCAATTATTAGCAAAACTTCAGTTGAGATTGCATCACAACTAATAAGATATTTCAGTGGCCATGGAATCTACAAAGAATTACTTCTGATAACGGAACTGAATAAATGCAATTGTAACAGATTTATGTACTTTACATAAAATCGAATTCCATTATACGACACCTCGAAACCCTAATTCTAATAGTCAAATAGAAAGGCGACATTCTACCCTGAGAGAAAGTCTAACAAGCTTGAAATTACAAAGCCCTAATAAAAACATTAATGATTTAATGGTAATTGCAATCTTGAATTATAATAACAGCATACATAGTGTTACAGGTTATACACCTTTCCAAATCATAAAAGGCGATTTAAATTATTCAATACCTATTGAAAATTCCCAAAATAAGATAACCACAGATTATATTAATAATCTTGCCGAATCATTAGAAACTCTAAATAATGTAATTCATGACAAATTAATATCAAAGCAAACCCAAAATTTAGAGAAAATCAATAAGCAACGTGAAAAGGAACCTGAATTAAAAGATCCTATTTTTATTAAGCAATTTGACAGAAATAAAATTAGTCCTCGTTATGGTGCTAAAACACAAGTCAAATTTAGTAAACCAATGGTAAAGCGACAACATTTTGTTTCAGAAAAACCAAAATGTTCCTGGCAGCTTTCATCATCCTCCTCATAGGAATTTCCAGTAACGCCTACACATTAACTCCATTAAGAAATCCTATTTTACCGATTTCTATAGGAACCACTTACATTACAACACAACACAACACTGCATGTTATCACATTAATACTACCCTTATTGGAAACAGTATAAAAACTCTCGAAATAACTTTAAAGAATTTAAACAATACTTTAAATTTAACCAAATGGTCTAATAAAGACGAAATTGTTACTTTATTACAAGTAAATATTGAAACTAGTCAATCACGTATCAATACATTGAAGAAATTTATAAAACAATTTTCACACGATCGAATTAAACGTGGAGTATTCAATTTTATTGGTACCGCACAAAAATGGTTGTATGGTACATTAGACGCAAATGACGGCGATAGATATGATTCTTACATTCAAACATTAAATGAGAATCAGCAAACTATCGATAAAAATCTAAAAGATCAAGCAAACATACTTAAACAAGTTACGAAAACATTTCATGATCAATTTTCTACTATCTAAAATAATCAGATAATTATCTCAGACAAGATAAAAAATATTTCGACGGATAATCAAAATATTCAAACTATCTTAATGATGAATCTAATTTTAGAAAATATTAATATGCACAGTAGTAAGCTGCGAGAAATTATTAGCCACATTCAAAACGCAATAAGCTTTGCACGCGTAGGCATAATGCACTATACAATTCTGCAGCATCATGAGTTAAATTTGATCTTGAAAAATATACCCGAGAGAGAACAAATACCCTTTGATAACGTAATTAAATACTATGAGACAATGTCCTCTCATGTAATTATTCAAAAGGAATTAATTATTTTTATTTGCAATCATATATGTAATCTTGTCATTACTGACTTTTTTAAAATTTGGAAGTGACACTTTACCTGTGTCACTTCCCTCTTCGATTTCCCTATTCGACTTCCCTCACCGATTTCCCTCACTGTAATTTATTTACCTTTGCTGGCAACAATGAGAACATTTCAGGTAAAAACGTCAAGGCAGTGAATGACACATTTTGGCATGTTTGTTTTATTTTTTTAATATTAAAAAAGTTGATTGACTAATCATAATTAATAGTGTACTTGCAAATAATAGTTATTTATGTATCAAGGGAATTATGAGGGTGTTAATACCCCAGGGCAAAGTTTGTGTCCCGAGGGCCTTTGGCCCGAGGGACACCAATTGCCCATGGGTATTAACACCTGATAATTCCCGTGGTACATAGATAATTTTATATCCTACTGAATTTCTCCTATTTTGTCCATTTTTATAAAGAAATTAACCATTGACTACCTATATGAGCATTCAGGTGCGTTTCTATGTGCCTTGCTGGTACAAACAAGTCATAGACAAGTAGTAGGTACTAGCTTTGTCTATGACACAAGTTCTATTGTTTGTTACTATGGCAGAGGCACTTTTGTGGAGGCACTGTAACTATGGCTTGTTATTTATAATTGATAAAGGTCACATTTTGTCGTTGAAACGCGTTTTTGGTGAACAAAAAGCTTATTATAATGGACGAGATAATGAAAAAAGCCGAGGAAGCAAGAAAAACGTTGGTCCCAGCCAAGAGTGAGACTCTATATAATAAAGAATATAGAAAATATATCCACTGGCTGGAACAAAAAGGTATCCCAGCAAAGAATAGTGACGAAACTGTTCTCTTGGCATATTTTCAAGAAATGGTACGGTAACTATTGTTCATTATGTTTTGTTTAGTAAGTAATTGTGCCTTATTTATTGCAGTCAGAAAGTTTTAGTCCAAATTCCTTGTGGACTAAATGGTCAATGTTGAAATCCATGCTATCTATACACGAAAAACAAGATTTTAAAAAAATCAACGAATTGGAGGCCTTTTTGAAACGAAAGAGCAAAGGTTATAGACCGAAAAAGTCTGCGGTATTGTCCCCTCAGCATATCGCCAAGTTCCTCAAAGAAGCCCCCAATGACATGCATTTATTAAATAAGGTAAATAACCTAATTTCTATATTTCTTTGTGTATGTATTAATTACCTGTTTTGCAGATAGTTTTAATAATGGGATATTTTGGAGGGTGCAGAACTCAAGAACTTCTTAATATGAAGCTAAGTGATATAGAGGACCGGGACAAGGTTATGGTCGTGAGTATACCAGACAGTAAAACGGGTATACCAAGGAAATTCACGATTGTTGATGAGGATGAGTTCGTTGCTCTGCCTTTATTGAAATTTTACATGTCATTACGACCTAAGGGTATCGGAAGATTTTTTTTGAACTACCACCAAAATAGATGCACCTCCCAGCCAATCGGGAAAAATACATTCGGGAAAATTCCCAGTAAAATTGCATCATATTTAAAATTGCCAGACGGGACACTGTCTTCGTCGCACCTCTGCCACTGCGCTAGCAGATGCAGGTGCAACTATGACAAACCTAAAGAGGCATGAAGGCTGGAAAAGTTCCACAGTGGCGGAAGGATATTTAGCCGATAGTATCGAGCTAAAAAATCAAACGGCACGGATGCTCTCTACCTTACGATCAAAAGAGGCAGGCACATCAATTCAAATGTGTAACAGCAAAAGCCATACAGAAAAAAAATTAAATTGCAGCAATGGAAATAGTTTCCAGGGCAATTTTGATAATTGTAAATTTATTATTTGTAATAATAAAAATAAAGTTGATAGATTTTTAGAATAAAAGATGAATTGCAGTTTTCAATAAAGCTTTTTTGTCAAAATTTCTATTTTTTCTGAAAGTTCTACCTATTCAAGGTAAAAGCGGGAGTTATAGAAATCCTTAACTCCCTTGGGAGTTTTGATATCCTTAACTCCCAAGGGAGTTAAGACCCTGTTTATGATTATCGTAACCAAGGTATTATATGGTTGTAATAGTTCAGTAGGATATAAAATAGTATACAAACCTCGGAGGAAAGTTTTCATTTCTGTCTCGAGATTAATAGTCAATCTCGACGCTTCGCGTCTCGATTGACTATATAAATCTCTCGACAGTAATGAAACACTTCCCTACTCGGTATGTAATATACTATTACTATATTCACACCAATAATTAATCCTAAACCTTTTATATTGTATAAATTATATCCTATACCCATCCAAAATTATACAATTAGTGTTAAGTATCCTTACCTTTTACTTACCACAGACACGTATTACAACGCTTTACAAAAATGTCCAAATGTTGAAGACATTTATTTGTGCAAAATGGAACTATTGAAACAAGATGAGCCCTGTGTTCACGACATTGTATCTAGTGAACAACAATTATGCCCATTCACGAAAATTCAATATGAAGAATCGACAATTGAAGAAATACCCAATAATCAAATATTGGTTATTCCAAAACGACATACGACAGCAATGCTGCAATGTGACCAGAAGAAGTACATGGAAATCATTTCCAGTCCAATCGTAATTTCCAAAGGTAAATGTTCAATAACAATTAATAATCGAACATTTTTGGAAGACACGCATGAGAACTTCAACCTAGAACTAGAACTACTACCCATCATCGAGATTCCTGAACTTCTAGAGAATACCACAACTGTAAGACTAAAAACAGTCGACCACGAAGCTCTTCAATCAGCGATTAAAGAAGCAAACAATTTAAAGACTGACCCATTAAAAGTGTTAGATTTTAAAACCAATAATGTGTCAACCTATATTATAATCATAGTATTAAGTTCTATTTGCATAACCATTATTCTTATTCTATATTTTAGAGGAAAACGTTATAAAACCCAAACTGAGGTGCAGATTGAATTGCCCAACATTGTTAGTCAATCCCAATTTGCAACCACTTAAGGAGGGAGGAGTTATATTGTAAGACCCTATGTTATCTTTATACTAATAATTCTCCTTTCCTATGTTAATTATTAGCATACGCCTATGTCAATACTAATAAATATATAAAACTGCTTAATCAGCGGTACTGCACTGGTAGTACCGCCACCTGCATAGGAAAATGCTTGGATCAGCAAATATTTATTATTTAAGCCAGAGCTTTGTAGCAATTTGATCCACATATTTTCCGATTGTCACTATTGTATTTTAATTAATAAAATAAATGTTTTTTAAAAATACAAGTTTCTGAATCGAAAATATAATTTGCTTATAAATAAATTGTTTTGGTTCTTACCTAATAATTTGTTTTTCAACATTCGTTTCTTTAATATCGCCATTGAAATACTTAATTTTGATCAGCTTGCCATCTCCAGATATAGTTTTTAAATTTCCGTTGCTGTACATTATTTCAATAGATCCATCCGGCAACTTTTTTTCAGTTTTTTCTGTTGGAAAAATTTTAAAATGAATAGAGCTTGTATGACTACCACAGAACAAGAATTCAACAAAAGATTATCATTTGAAACAGATGATAAATTAATAAAATTTTGCAAAACGTTGTGATTTTTGGGAAAGTGATTTTTATTTCTGATTTTATTCCTACTCCCAATAAATATGAATATTCTCTTAAATCCTTGTATCGATTTGAACATTGTCTTGTGGATTTAACGATAATTCACTAAAACGAAATGAAGTAACAGGAAAAGGAGATTTTTTGAAATAGTATCAACCAAGAAAAGAATGTTCTAAATGTTTGTCGTTGGTATGTCTATATTTTTGATAAAAATAAATAATGTATAATGAGAATAAATTGCCAAAAACAAGAAAGAAAGGATCTAGCTTGTGAATTGAAACCGATAACACTTATGACTGGTAAAAAAATAGTGATTCTTACCTATTGTTGTGGAAGCATTAACGTTTCTAGGACTAGCAAAATTGCCAAAAACATTTTCATACTCTTGTTCCACTGATAAACCTATGGCTGGAGTTTCGTTGAACATTGTCTCGGAGCTGCTGTCCTTTCGACTTCTTGATAAAATTTTTTCATTTTCCTAAAAATAAATTCAATGCAAGTGTTTTCTCGACATAAACCGATACGTAAAACGCCAATACTAGGAATAAATAACACGACTCAGCATAATTATAAAATAAACATATTTTGCATTTTATTATTTCATAGAATTAGCTGTGTACCAGTAGGTTAAGATTTAACCGCTTTCACAGGAGTTAACAATGGCCACTTCGAATACCTAAGTATGGCCTTTGAATTGAAAAATGCTCCAGCAACATTCCAGAGAATGATGAAAATTTTGAGAAAGTATCAGAGTATCTATACAAATAAAAAGATATTCAAAACACTCCGAGAAGTGAATCTTGAAGTTCAGCCGGACAAATCCGAACTTCCATCCAAAGAAGTAGCTTTTCTAGTTCACATCATCACCCCTGAAGGCATAAAACCAAATCTTTCTAATAATAGAAGCGATCCAAAGATATCCAATACCCAAGTTCACCAAACAGTTATTACAAAAAATTTATAAAAAATTGCGCCAAAACAATTTTTTCAATTACAAAGTGTCTAAGAAAAAGTCACGAAAAACATATTAGCAACCAAGAATACTAAAAAGCCTTCTTAGAGTGTAAGGAATTAATTACCAACTCCATTGTAGGTACCAACCCTTTAAACTAACCACCGATGCCTCCAACATATCTCTCGGCAGTGTACTTTCTCAAAACGAAAACCTCATTGCATATTTTTCAAATTCCACAGAATGAAACTTACGCGAAGCGGAGGGAGACAACACAGCAAGCGCTAAAATCTTACTTTTTTCCCGTGTATAATAAACTATTTTTTTCTGTGACGGGAAAATCTCACCATTTTCCATCTATACTTCTGTGACCGTACTTATACTTTTTTCCCTTTGAGAAAAAAATTTGACCCGTGGGAAAAAATACTTTCTTCCTGTAGGAGAAAAAGTGACAAAATACCTACTTAGATTTATGTTGTAGCAAAATGTTTAGCATCCATCATGACGTACCTGGGTACTCAGGTTTCCCCGTTTTGACCGCAATCTAACCTGATATTAGTAAAATTGCAGTGTGCGTTTTTACTAGCAATGTTGGGATTCTGTGCACTTAAACGGGTTGTCGAATAGAGGACGCTACCCGACACTTTTACCAAATTTAAAATTACCTTTTGCCAATTGTTTACAAAAACGCATTCTTGTGGTTTTTTGGATGATTTTTTCAAGATCTGCAAACGCCTGAAACCTGGTGAAATGTTCAATTAACTCTTTCTTTATTTGATACCGTTTCAGCTGGTAGCTGTTGGTTTTAGTGCAAGTTAGATAATTTCTACAATTATTTAAGTTTTGTGCCTCTTCGAGTACCAGGTAGGCATTATTCTCTTCAAATATTTAATTTATCAAAATAGAGGTACATCATTGAATTTTCTTTAATAAAATTCGATGTGTATTTTTTTTTCAATAAAATATATTACTATTGATGACTTTTGTAATTACAGTTGTTCGTGTCATTAAAAGAATAAATAGCGATCTGCACTCTGCCCAGTCCGTGTGTTTAATTTTGGCTAAACCCACACCAAGTTATTTTGTTTCAATGTAAAACTTGGCGAGCTAAGCTCCCACTTGAATACTTTAAACAATTAAACAAAATCCGTACACTTACGGTTAATAACTTAGTCAAGTACTTGAAGTTTTGGAATTTCCCGAGGAATTTCCCTTGATTCGAGATGAAAAATAGCTAAAGTTATCTTACTTGATACGTCGTTCACAATTACTTCTAGTTGACTTGTGTGTGTGTGTGACTGCGTAACTGGGTTTCAAAACAAGTACCTTACCCCAAAGCTAGTAAAACCTCTAATGGTGCTTTTGGAAAGTTACAAGCTTAATAGTAAATATGCTTTATAGGGCATGTCCATGTGACGTCACAAATGAGTTTGACAGTCGCCCTGAGGTAAAACAAATCAAATTTCGTGTAGATTAGGCCGGTTATGTTTTATGCGGTTTTCACAGCTTTTTTACAAGTTTTTGCGTTATTTTGTTCTAAAAAAGTTAGAGTGGAGTGTTTGTGTTCCAGCCTATGTGGTCTTTTATCTAAAAGTTTGCTAGGTTTTCCTATAAAGGATTAATTTCAGGTTTTTTTCCAACAAATATCAAAACCGAGTGTCACAAGAACAAATATATAAGTATAATTACTCTATATTCAATCTATTTTTCTGTCAGATCTTAGCATTAATCAATTTTTCTCTTCTTTCTTGAGCTAACAAATCAAACCTCCCATTGTTATTTAAAATTGATGGAAATCTATGGAAGGATATTGTATCCCTTGCACTATACTGCCACAATTAACAACTAAACAAACTCTAGACATGTCCAAGAAACTTCTTGATCACACAATAGTTATTTTTGTATCAAGGGCGCGAAATGCTACTTTGGTGATCGAGATCTGAAAATAGTCGAGGGGAATGTTAAAAAATCGATACTTCGGAAAAAAAGTGTCACTTCGTAAACTATCATGAGTGTGCGAACATCATCATTTTTTGACAGTTGTAGAAAAAAGGTATTTATTTAAAAAAATCTAACTAAAAATTTGAAAAAACACTGTAAATTTATCTTTGTTTTACCTCAAGGCGACTGTCAATAGTGTCAAACTGTCAGATCATGTACTTGCCCTATTGTCCAAGAATACAAAAATCTTATTGACAAAGCTAACCTAACTTAAATTAAATTTTAGTTGGTTAGAACGTTGTACTGAATATGCGAGAGTCCTGGGTTCGAATCCTAGTCAAAGCAAGAAAATTTTTCGTCAATTTTCTATAATGTCTACATGCCACTAAATCCATTGACACATTATAAATTATGTCACGGATAATTAGACAATCCAACGACCTGTCCAAATGGCGTCTGGTTGGCAAACAATAAACAAAAAACATATGTTTTTATTTTGACGGGATTAAGCCTAGTACCAAAGAATATTATAGACTAACGTCTCTAGAAGTCTCGTCCGTATTCTGATTTTTGATACCTCGATGGACGCCGGCTTTTGCCGGTGTGGACGCTGGCTCGAGTCTATTGCCCACTGTTGCCGAGTTGTCAGTGCTCAGCGTCCAGCCAGCGAGCCAGCATCCGTGTCTGTTTCTCTGAATGAAGTTATTAAAGTGAAATATTTGCTTTGCGTGCATAGGGAGACAAAAGGAATTAGGAAGTTAAGCATATATTTTCTAACATATTTGATAATTTACCAACGAATATCGATGGATGCTATTCTATCATTTTTTTTAGGTTTTTTTTTCAGTATATTTGGCAAATTTGCCACTTAGAAATTTATGTTTAATTTCGAATTATGAATTATTTATTTATTTTCCAGTAGATCGGTTTATTTACCAACAAGTAAATTTTGGGGTCGGTCAAGTTTCCGCCTGTATTAAACAAATTTCAAAAATAAATACCTAAACCATAATAATTTTGCACACAACACAACGAAAACTAGAGCATTTTTTTAAACTAGGGGCAAATTTGACCGTTCCCCCTTGTTTGTCTAAAACTTGAAAAATTCCTATTCACCTAAATTTGCACAATTTCGCATGCCTATTTTCAAATTTTGCACACTTTTCTGGGGAAAGTTAAAGTATGTTTTTTTTTTTAAAGATAATTCCCCAAGTCAAAAATTCAATAACTATGTTGGCAACACAAGCCTTTTCTACATAAAAAAATTTGAAAGCATTGACAATTTTACATTGCATTGCCAACTTAATGTCATTTTGACTTTTATCTTTAAAAAAAAAACTTTTTCTACAAACGTGTCAAAAATGCAATTTTTAACACCCCCCGTAGCATTAAAAATGTTACATTATCGCACTAGTGCCATAAAGTCTTTATAGCACTAGTGTTAAAAATGAAACATCAAATTTTGAAAGCGAACGTCAAAAATGTTTGTATTTTTAGTTATTTACATTGATATTAATGGTAAAACTGGAACAACTGAGGTAGCCCGATTGGCCGCCTCATCTATATTTTTCAAGGGATCGATGCAATCTCCTCTTTCTTCTGTATTTTGTTGCATTTCTAGCAAAAATAATTACTGACCACGACATACTTTCAAGAAACTGACAAGACATTTCATTACCTGTAAAACAAGGTGCTGGTTGTTTGGATCTTTTGATAAATGTCAAATTCAATAATTTTATGTAGGAAAGATGCTTCCAATTTATTATTCATTGAAAAATCCAATTTGATGACGTCATAATTTAGAAATCTTAGATTTTACTATCACTTTTCCGCGATTGTAAACCCACTTTTCCGCAAATATTACCTCATTTTTTCGCGATTCTTATCTCACTTTTTCACAAATTCACACTCACTTTTTTTGAAATTTTTGACTCATTTTTTTTGTGATTTTTGACCCACTTTTTTGCAATTTTGTTTTCACTTTTTTGCGATTTTTGGCTCTCACTCCTCGGCGATTACAAACTTATTTTTCTGCTATTTCATCCTCATTTTTCCGCGATTCTTACCTCATTTTCCCGCGATTGTTCCCCTACTTTCCGCGATTTTATCTCCACTTTTCCGCTAATTTGACCTCACTTTTTTTGTGATTTTTGAAAAATATTGTTTATTTTTGACTCATTTTTTTGCAATTTTACCATCACTTACCGCAATTCTAAATCCAGTTTTTCACGATTGTAAATCGACTTTTCTGTAAATATAATCTCATTTTTCCGCGATTCTTGTCTCACATTTTTTTGCGATGTTATCCTCACTTTTCCTCGATTCATATTTCATTCTCCGCGATTTTATCCTTACTTTTCGTGACTTTATCCTCATTTTTCCGTGAGTCTCATCTTACTTTTCCGCGAGTTTAAATTCACTCTTTTTGAAATTTTTGACTCATATTTTTCTTGCGATTTTTGACTCTTTTTTTTGTGATTTTATCATCACTTTCCACGATTTTATCTTCATTTTTCCTCATTTCAAAATTACGAAAATAACGATAATTTTTGAAAAGTTATGAAAAATTACGGGAATTACGCTAA